AGACCTGCGGCCAAGATGCTCTAATTAAAACAACTGCTACACTGTTTGGAGCCGTGATCATTGTATGCCTTGGATAGCTTGTGAGTGTCAGATTCAGCTAAGCTCATGGAGTTCACATAACATCCAGCACTCTTGCTTGTTTCAGCCGGCCCCATGACACACGCCTCGGGCCTTGAGCTCCAAAAAGGCTGCAGGTCGCAAGTTGGCCAATTAAAAAATGTCAAGACTATCTGCAGGTCTTTGTTCATGGTTCAGTCTCTTTGATCCACCCACCATACTGCAAGTTTGAAGTCACCTGCCAACATTCTCTGCAGTGCCGCTGCTAGTCAAGCCTTGACCGCAAAGAATTCACGGTGCCAAGTGCTACTAGAAGCACTCGGCTCCTGACTCATGCACTTAGAAGCCTCGGAATGTCTGAGAATAGATGCCCCAAAGAATCGCTTCAGTCTTGTACTCCCACATGGGGCACAGGCGGGTCTGATTTTCTGCGTCAGGAAGGTATGGAAAGAGCAGAACAAATCTATGGGAATCTGAAGTAAAGCAAAGAAGCGCCAAAAAATGCCAAGCTGCCTAGTCCCTCAAACAGGGACATCGCACTGCGGCTGCCATGGCAGGATATCCAAACCATTATCCAGGAGCACAGCTTGTCAATTCCCTGATGTTCCATGGTTTGAACATGTTTGACCGACTGTGCCACTGCTCAATCAAACGCGGCACCTCTGCGTTGGCGGTGTTCTGTGCGTGTCCATTTTATAAAATTGTGTCTTATCAAATTCCTTGTTATCATTCGCAATGGCCGTACTTGTCACTGACGTGAGCCCAGCAGCGACTGTTGTGGCATCTTCTCCCCGCACTTGATTCATGCAATCAATGCAATCCTTTACCGTACCCTATAAAATCCAATATCCTTTATCGATCACTATTGATTCAATGATTGATGTTCCGTTCTCCAGGTCACATGCGCAACATCATAGGACCACAATGGAACATGCTCGAGATGTACTGACTGGATCTTGATGATGGGCAATCAACGCCTTGCACTCGACTAAAATTGATCAGAAGTGCCGGGTATCAACGTTGAATCATTGCCCGAATGAGAAAGCAGCCTATAGGATCATCTAGGATCAATCCCCCTACATGGGACATCATGGGACAGTGTCACCTTGCCGAATCCGAGCACGATAGCGCAGCGTGACGGATCGCATCTCATAGGCACCTCAGATTTGTCATAGCTGCAGAAGTGCAACCGTAGGTCCATGAACCTTGATGCCGACTCCCACAGTATCCCACAGTACTCCAGCCCGCGAGGCCACATGTCACACTCACTCTCGACACTCTCGACACTCTCGACATCTCTCGACTCTCTATCCCTCAAACTCCCCATGAACCCACGAGGAGAATACGGTGATTCGTTGTAGCACAGCGCTGATGGCACGGAGCCTTGCCGGAACCTCATGGAGAGGGCAAAGCTCCACGAGGTCACCTGACAAGGCCACGTGAGCCCGTGAGTCATGTGAGATCCAAAGGGTCACAGTGGCAGCCATGGTGGCCATGGCCTTTCGCAATGTCGCCTGAAGAAAAGACACCGCTCTCCTTGCCGCTTTGATCTACACCTGCCGGAGCTGCAAATGCCGTACTCTTCAGGGATATGGCAGGATCAAGGTTGACCAAAGATGTCCAAAGGCTATAAAGGCTCCAAGAAACTGCTCTGGAGAGTCTGGCATGTTTGAGCTTGGCTCTTGTATCTGCGGGGTTCACTGGGTGCGCAACGAAATTCCAGCGGTTTGTAGCCACCGCGGACCGCCCGGACAAGCCTCCATTCCACGTAGGTTGGATCATTCATAGCCATGATTGGCATGGTGCTTTCACGCAAAAACAACAAGCGTCGAACACGACACGTTCTAAAGGCACAGAAAACACCGAGACAGCGAAGCGCGGCAATTAACCTGAGGCACTGTGTTATAATCTATTATCAATGCTCAACATTACTTGCCACATCTTGCCCCTTGGGCCGCCTTCCGTCTTCTTTTGAAATGCTTAGAATGTGACTTTGGGCCCTTCATGGACCTTCGATCCCCTTCGGTTTTCCATGCATCGGTCTACCTCTTAGAGCTGCGCATCATGGAAGATTCTCGGCCAGGCCGAATGAAACCCAGGCTGCCCAAGAACACATCCACCTAGCAGGCCATCGAAGATAATACTGCCTACGAGATCCTGCAAGTATGATGCACTGCAATGGTTGGTATTTGCCTTGATGCTTGTGCTATAGAGGCATCATTCAGAGCTTATATGATGACCACTTGAGGGTATTTGAAGAATTAACAAAGCTTAAGCGAAGCAACAGGGCAGATGGCAGAGATGGCGCAGGCAATCGCAGGCAGCAAGACAGAGCTGCAGCACATAGCCGCACTGATTACATCACGCCTCTGAAATTGTCCAAAGCACTGCCTCTCGTGGTAGCATAACTTCCTGAGCTGCGCACAGGACAATACAGCATCTGCAGGCATCGGCGTATTGAACCCGGCCCTTCCAAGCAGTTGTCAAGGATCTAAGATGATCATGATGATCTATGATGATCTAGGGATATCTATATAATTCTATATAAGGGGTCCTGCATGGGTCAGTGGAAGCAGCAAAAAGGATTCCACTACTGCTGAAGGCCGCATGGTTTGAGACACACATTCTACAGTACACACATTCTACTCATGTGTGATTCTGTTCTTATGATTGTCTGCTTGTGCAGGTTGGCTTGGGGGGTGGCTGGTGCGAGAGTGAAGAGATGTGAAAAGGCTATTCCACGCTTACTGTGAGCTCTTTGCACGCATAATATGCATTTGCGTATGCTTGTGAAATTGATGAGGCTTGCTGCTTAATCAAGCCAAGTTTCACTGTGCCTGTACGCCAAGAGGCGATCCTGGCGCAGTAGTACTAGTGGAGGCTCCTAAGGCAACATGTCATGTACCTATTTTTCACTACATTTCCACTAGGCAGGGTCTAGCTTCAAAATGTTTGAAGCTGTGAGAGCATCAACAGCGCAGCAACATCAGCACCGGGTTTCTTACCTTTCTGATCTTTCTTGCCGCTTTCCTGCCAAAAACAGACAGCAAGCTGAGCGTTCTTTCGCTACAAAGCTCTTTGTGCTGAGCCAGGTCACACCTTAGTTGCACTAGGTCCGCCTTCAATTATGATATCTGGCATTCGCACCGTTCATCACCTGAGTTCAACACTTGAAGCACTAGAGTCTCTCACTAGGGATCATTACATTCTTTAGATTGTAGATACAGTACGGTCATCGAACAGTGCCAGAGATCATTACTTAAAATCAAAGTTAAAGATTATTCAACTTCTTATTTCCTCTGAGTGCAGTTTCTTGAAAAGGCCCGCCCTCCTACGCACACGAATGCGACCTGCGCGGGCAGTCACCGCAGCCGTGAGGAAAGTTCCAAAAATGGTCCTCCTACTGGAACAGTAGAGCGCTGCAATTAATTCGTTGCAGCCTCTTTTGCTCACTGTTGCTCCGAAAGCTTTTTGAAACGTTGTGAAGCAAGCAAAATTGTAGCAGTGATGCGAACTTTGCTTGGAGCTGGCCGAAAGGCTAACGCGTGCGAAACCTGCGAGGATTTTCACAAGTGCCAGGCAGCAAGGGCAAACAAGGAAAACAATCACCTTTCGATGAAAAGTAATCCGAGAATTAACCAAATAACCCAAGGTTGCAAAACTGTTGCGAGAAATGTATCAAACATTATCAAACATATTTTCAGGAGCACCCAACGATGTAACAGCACCCCCCAACAAAAAGAAAATAGAAATCGAAATGATCCATCAGTCCATCACGGACACAAGGTGGGAATCGCAACATCAACGGTGCTCATAAAGCTACAGTTTAGGCAACTTGGGACAGATAGATAAAGCAGAATACAAGAGAACATACAGCGGAAAAAACACGCACTGACAGAGACATTCCCGGTGAGAAAATCAAGACCTGCTTCCTATTCAGCACAGAGTTGAGCGTTGAGCCTTTTCGAACAACTCTGGTCGGCGGAGGGGTGTCAATGATGACATTGGCCCTGTACCACGTTAACCGCCCTCTTCTTGGGGCAGACGCAAGTATGCTAATCTGAGCCAAATAAAACTGTGACAAGCGCAAGCACTTCTCATTTCTAGCACCTACACCGAAATAAGTCGGGCTAAGGCCCCCTCCAGAGAAAGAGTAATCCATACAACCGATTACAACCCTACATAGCTTGGGGGTAAACCATGTGATGTAGGCCATTGTCCCAAACACAGCCCGTGACCCATGCCCGGGAACAAGTCAGGGGCACCAGAAGCGCAAGCGGCTGCAGCAGCACTGGAAATCTGGCCAACCACAGCAACATCAGAAATCAGAAAAAGCGTGAAAGAGCACCTCTGATTGATTCCTGGTGCATTGCCTGTCCAAGTCTTAACCCAGATTGAGAATGGTTACTTGTATTGAAACAAGGTGCGGCAAATGTGGCAGAGTGTGGGCCCGCGACTGGCTTGAGCCTGAGGACCTCAAGACTTCAAACACACAGAATTAAAGCCTGATCGCAGTAAGCACGCGTGAGCTTACCCTTTTTGCTGGCCATCCCACATCATCCATGCCTCGGGCTTCGGTCCACAGAACATGCCCAGACTCCAACGTAAAATCATGCGGATTCTGCGGCTTTGTCTGGCTGAAGCTTTTCAGGCTTTGTATTCTGTTGCGTTCCCTCCCAATCTTTGTTGAGGCAATGATGAAATCAAAATGTCAGCAAAGACTGCCGATCTTCCTGGGGCATGTCTGGCCTCCTGAGTCGTCTTGCTGATGCTGGCCAGCCTCCAAAGGGAACTTTCAGCTTTTGAAGTATCATGAATTTATCATGATTTTTGTTGTGAAAAAGTGACCTCGATGCTTTCAGGGAAACGGGCCAATGTCAGGTATCTGGTTTGAACACGTTCGAACATCTTTGCCGGAAGGACAGAGGTTCTAATAGGCACTTTTTAGGTTCGAGTTTTTTCACACCTGTACCACCCGTGTCAGTGACAGGGGAAGCATGGAATTCTTGTCATTCCATGTCGTTCCATGTCATTCTGCACAATCGCTCCGTTTTCCAAATCTTGTCGACCAAACTCAGAGATCCTCCGCGTTGTCAGAACAGTCTGAGCTCCGCAGTCCTTCGCATCCTCTGCCGTGTCAATCGTTGGTCGATTCAGGTCCCAGGCCTGGATCTGAAAAACCCCGCAGATCGGGCAAGTCGCGGGCAGTTCCGTTCTTCGTCCGTGTGCCAGTGTGCTCCTCGGGGGTGGCCCTATCAAGATCAAGTCCAGCACACAGGCGTTATGGTAGGTCGTTCGTGATCGTTCATAGTTCATCATTCAGCCGGGATGGCACCAAGAACCTTGGCAGTGTGTGACAGGATGTAATGGCAAACTACAGTATGGCAATCTCAATAGCTTCACACAGCACATCTGGAGGCGTTGAAGTGGAGATTGTTTTCTCCAACAGTTTCCACCACTTGAACCTTCTACGCAGAACTATGCTTTTGTATGATTTTGTGCTCAGGAGCCTTGGGCTGAAAGAATCGTGGCTCAATGGCCCACCAATCTCTGGGCACACCCTCCTGCCAAGACGTGGGCCAAAGCCCCAAATGATCCAAATGTATTTCATATATCGAAAGCCATGGCATGGCCCTGACACAGGTCTCCTGTTCGAATAGGATATCATCATTCTTGTGTTCCAGCCAATCCTCCCGTGCATTGCAATCATTGCAGGGATGGGCCGAGGCGACCTAGGTCCTAGTCGTGGCAAACACTGCCAAGTCAAGGCTCATTTCACGCATTTCCTTTAAGGGAGATTTACAACACTTGCTTCTGCAGGCTGAGGGATATGGATCCGAATCCTACAAGTGCTCGAGAAGTTGGCTATGGACTATGGAGATGTGTGAAGGTTTCGCGTGGGCATATTGCGGCATTGCCAATGACATTTACATCCCCTTGTGAGCAGGGTATCTGTGACTGAGTTCATTCTTCCGGGTCTCTAACTGTCTGTGTGCAGGCAGATACGTGGATGTGTGCCGGAATCTATATGGCCTTCTTTTTGCGCAATGTTGTTCATTCCAAAGTCAGCCAATGTCAGCCATTTTCATTCATGTCCATTTCAGATTTCATGTCCCCTACCTTTCCAGGAATGCCAACGCAAACCCGCGCCAAGACAAAAGTGGTTCATCTCCAGCTGACCCGGATCCTGAACTTGCCGCATCTCACTAGGATAGTCCGCGGTGCGTGGAGGGTGATGGCATTGAACTGCATCGATGACCTGATACCACGCCATGTCGCACCGAGAATCTGGGGGATACCACTCTGCCAAGCTGCAGCTACAACATCCGTTGCACCACCAGCAGCTGGGTGAAAGCAGAAATCAATAAAGCAACCTGCAAATGGACAAGATAAACTTCAACAACCCTTCCAAATCGTGCTGATACATCATACACTGATACATATATTACAGATGTGTGTGGGCGTGCAAATAAAAATATCACTCAATATTTTTGTGTGCTAATGCCGACAAATGTGCCACTGATTGGCCCGCCCTGCTTCGAATCGTGAGAAAAACACTTCTCACGCAGCCTGTCCGCACTGCCCGCAAGCAAGGCTGGAAGCGTGGATCCAAAAGCATAGAGCTTTTCAGAATAGGAGCAGTGCCTCATTGGAGGCCCGCTTTGTACAATCCCCCGGTTTTAAAACAATTAATGTTGCACCCTGATTGGTGGCTAGGTTCACTATTGTGGCTAGAATTTTCCAAATTATTTTGAACCCATGTCTTGTTTGGAAGGTTCACTATTGAAGTGGCAAGAAATCTTGGGATACAATTGTTTGTCCAAAAAAATGTGCAAAAAAATGAACATATTTTTCTGAAAAAAAATGGTTTGTCTCCCTGTCCCAAGAGAATCAGACCGCTTATTAAACCCTTATTAAAGAATAGTTTTTCCACAAATTTCCAAGGCACTGGGCCATGAGAGGGTCCAGTTCACTTTAGTGGGTTTGTTCTCAAGGTTCACAATTGCAGCAAACTTTTGCAGAGCTGATCCTGGAGCCAAGAGAAAAAAGAAACGCCTTTTACACGAGCATTTGAGAAGTTCAAAGTCCAAGCCGTTCCCAAAAGAATCAGACCGCTTATTAAACCCTTATTAAAGAACAGTTTTTCCACAATGGGCCATGAGAGGGTCCATTTCACTTTAGTAGGTTTGTTCTCAAGGTTCACAATTGCGGCAAACCTTTCCAGAGCTGATCCTGAGTTCATCTTCCTCTGCCTCTTCCTCATCCTCTTCCTCTTCCTGTTTCTTTCCTCTTCCTCTTCCTCTTCCTCTTCCTCTTCCTCTTGCTCTTGCTATTGCTCTTCCTCTTCCTCTTCCTCTTCCTCTTCCTCTTCCTCTTCCTCTTCCTCTTCCTCTTCCTCTTCCTCTTCCTCTTCCTTTCCTCTTCCTCTTCCTCTTCCTCTTCCTCTTCCTCTACTACCCCTTCCCCTTCCCCTTCCCCTTCCCCTTCCCCTTCCTCTTCCTCTTCCTCTTCCTCTTCCTCTTCCTCTTCCTCTTCCTCTTCCTCTTCCTCTCCCTCTTCCTCTTCCTCTTCCTTTCCTTTCCTCTTCCTCTTCCTCTTCCCCTTCCCCTTCCTTCTTCCTCTTCCATCTTCCCCCCTTCCCCTCTCCTCTTCCGTTCCCCTTCCCCCTTCCCCTATTCCTCTTCCCTTCCCCTCCCTCTTCCCCTCTCTCTCTCTCTCTCTCTCTCTCTCTCTCTCTTTCTCTTTCTCTTTCTCTTTCTCTTTCTCTTTCTCTTTCTCTCTTTCCCTTTTTCTTTTTCTTTCTCTTTCTCTTGTTACACTTTGAATTTTAAAAAAATAAGGTGGAAAAGGTAACGCAGTCAACATGCTGAATCCCACTCACCAGAAGGTACTACAAGTACTACAAGTATTACAGGTACAACAAGTACCACAAGTTCATCGGAAAAAAACAAGTTTGAATTAGATTTCAATTGTCACCCATTGAAATCCTTACTTAAATGCGGGATCATATTTTTTCTGGGGAGGATTTTTTTGGCACCCAACTTTAAAAAGGGATAAAAATTGTATTTTATAGTTATTGTTGAGGGGGGGGCCGTACACTAATCAGGACGAAACAGTAGCCAGCCACAAGGATACATAAGGACCCACTACGTACACAATTATAAACATCTTATATAATTTGGGGAACAAAAGCGATGAAAACACGCACATTACACGGGAATTACACAACCATGCATCTTTTGTTTCCCTTTGCTGGGAAGACTCACTGAGCTTGGCATCTTCACCACAATTCAAAAGATGTTCCAATACAAGATCACCCAGCATCCAGCAGATGCATGCAAACGCATCCAGGTCACATTCAACGAAATTGGTGTAGCGCAGTTTGCAACCTGCGGGGAAGTGGTTGGTGGAAAACATGGCGCAAAAAAAAAGTACCAACAGCTGGCGCATCGAAAGTGCAACTGCTGGTAACCGACCTGGTAACCTGCGCCAGTGCCTGGATGGTGTCCATCGAAAAAACGCCAAACACCATCGCTTTCCTGTCGGGAGCTGCACTGCGCAGGTCCAACATTTATTTCAACAGCAGTGGCATTGAAAGAAAGAGGCATCAAGAGATATGAGGAGGTACCTTGGCAAATAAACAAAATGCAATAAATCAAAGAAACCGACTAATCACGGTAAACCTGGAAAGATTCAAAGCCAGCAGTATTATATTAGTCAAATCTAGCGTTGGCAGCATTCGCGACGTGGCTAGACAAGTGACAAGCCGTGCAAGGCAAGCTCCCACCTTGTCAAAGGATGGACTGGCAAAAGCGATTTGACTGTGTTCCCGCCTTGGTTTGCTCTTCAGATTGTTCTTTTTTTAATCTATTCCCATTCATCAAATTCAAGCAGATGGGTTGAACGTCAAAATACGGACCCAACATGAACCACCAATGGCAAGGCAAACTGCTGAATGTGTTCAGGTTTCTGAAGACTGATCACGATTTCCAATGCTGGACGCTTTCATCAGACCACCCGGGCATGATGCCTACTGAAAACACATGACATGCCTTGTGCTTCATTGTGCAAACTGTGCCTTTTGTTCCTGCAAGTTTCATGCACGGAAAAAGGCATCTAAGTGCTAACATGTGCTGACCAGTTGGCAGCGTTTCGAACATCCGGCATATGCCGTTCGTTGGAAGACGAACGTCATCATCCACAACCCAAATGTAGTCCTCAGAGCTCCGCTAAAAGCATGTCGGAAAAGTACCTCCTCCCCATTCACCTCCACCTCCTCAAAATCATCCCCACCATCATTGCAGCCATCATCAACATCATCATCATCACCACCATCGCCACCATCGCCACCATCGCCATCATCACCATCATCATCATCATCACCATCATGACCATCACCATCAGCATCATCATCACCATCATCACCACCACCAAATCATCATAATCATCATCACCACCGTCATCACCGCCATCATCGCCATCATCATCAACATCATCATCATCATCATCATCATCCACCATCATAATCAGCAGCAGCATCATCAGCATCATCATCATCATCACCATCATCATCATCATCATCATCATCATAATCATCACCATCACCATCACCATCACCATCACCATCATCACCGCCACCATCATCATCTTATCATTATTATTCATCATCATCACTATCATCATCTTCATCACCATCACCGCAACCACCATCATCATCACCATCATCCTCCTCATCATCATCACCGCCGCCGCCATCATCATCATCATCACCACCATCACCACCATATTCATCTTCATCATCATCGTCATCATCATCATCATCATCATCATCCTCATCGCCATCACCATCACCATCACCATCATCATCATCATCATCATCATCGCCACCACCATCACCATCACCATCATCATCATCATCATCATCATCATCATCTCGATGATCAAGGGACCGACCCAATTTACGCAATTGCCGGCCAGTGCCCTGGACGATAACCTTTACCTTGATCCCAGCATCATATGTGGCAGCAACCTCAGCTGCTCCGCCTTGCAACTCCAACCAATAACGAAAGTTTGGCCACTTCCTCAGACAATACCAGGGCCATAGAAGCGATGCAGGTCAGAATCTGTGTTCCTGCTCGGATGATCCTGAAGCCAAGATTCCAAGTCAACATGCCGTTTGATTCTTTATTAAAACATGTAGTGCAAGACAAGGATCATCCCTTCATGCTGGAAGACTTGCATGCCTTCCAGGGTGATACAAATATTGATCTTCAGCAGAAAAGAATTATCTTGTGGCAAACCCATCTCTATAGCAGCTCGTCATACTAAGGTAAAACAGTTGTCACCAGGCCACTCACCACATGCTCGCAATCTTACATGCAATACTGCTGCTGCCTGCAACTTCTGCAGCCAATTCCTTCAACTTTTGCAGGACAGGTGAGTCAGGTTCCTTGTAAAACCTCAACTCAACAAGATTGAATGCATGCTTCACAGCCTTCAGACTCAAGTTTTACTCAAAAAATAGCATGCAAGGTTCAAAGTTCATAAGCAAAATTTGAGTCTTGTCCTCCCTTTCTTGCAGTTTGTTTCGCCGAAAACTGTGCCTTCGTTTATGTTTATGTTCGTTTGACAGAAGAACTAGAAGAACTTTGTAGATCTTTCTAGTAATCTCAGCACTCGACACCAGCGCCACATCAAAGTCCGCGGCTGATGGATCTTGCAGCCTCATGCTCTCCCGGAC